ATCCGATGCCTTGTGGCTGAGTGGCTGGGCCCACTTTTGCATTGCTCCCATGTACCCACAGACTGGGCCAGCTTGTGGCACCCACTGTAACTGGGGGGTGAGCCCACGGGGGATCCACATGGGCCTCCTTGGAATGTGCTTCCTGTCAGGGTACATGCCCTGCCCGCTGATGGTCACCTCTGGTCTCCCATCGTCACTTTGTTTCAGAGTAAGAACAACCGTCCTCTCCGCACGAGCCAGATCTATGCTCAGGATGAGAACGCCACCCACACGCAGCTGTACACCAACCACTTTGACCTCATGAAGATGACCGCCGGCAAGAGGAGCCCCCCCATCAAGCCGCTGTGCGTTGCTGCTCCCCGCAGTCACGACGAGCGCAGACGCGTCCTCTTCACCGTGTTGTCCTGTCTTTACTCACCGTCTCCCTCTCTCTCTCTGCAGGCTGGGCATGAATCCTTTTCAGAAAAATCCCAAGCACGCCTCTGTGCTGGCAGAGAGGTAACTCCATCCGTGTTTACGATGGGAGGCGCCTCCTTCAGGGCTCACTCCCGTCCAGTGAGGGTCTGTTCCAGGCGGCCCTGGACGATGGCATGGGGAGGAAAGCTGTGCCTGTGGGCAAGGCCACCCGTGGGCAAGACGGCTGAGTCCTGGTGTGGCCTGTGTGGTTGGGGTGGGGCTGCCTGAGACGATCCTCGTGGGGAGGCAACACGCATGTGCACTGTGTGTTCTGGGGATGGCACACACTGCACAGCCTGGGCCTCCTGCTTCCCTGGGGAGCAGATGTCTTCAGGCTGTCGTGGTGCAGTGAGGTGAGGCTGGCTGAGTGTCTCTCCTTGTCATGCTCTGCCTGTCTGTCCGCACCTGGGGGTTTGGCCTAACAGTCCGCCCACTCCAGGAGAGCGCCCTTGCTTGGACATGCAGTGGAGACAACAGGAGAGTGGGGCATGGAGGAGGGTGGGTGGCTCAGGCAGACAGTGGGTGCTGGCCTGTGGGAGCCTTCAGCTTCCTGTGTGCGCTCTAACAATGTCGGCAAGAGGTGTGCATTCAGAAGCCAGGTGTCCCACACCTTGGGTCCGAGCCCTGTCTTCTCATGAGTGCACTGGTGCCGCTGCTCCCTGACCCCTCCCCACTCCCTGACCTTCATTCTTCCATACCTTCTGCTTCCCTGAGCTCCCCTCCACTCTCTTGACTGCCCCTGGTCTCCTTGGGCTCTGGTCTGGGTCCAGTAGTACTGTTGGAATGTCTTTTTCCAGGAGTCAGACCAGGTCCCTTCCTTGCTGAGAGCCCAGGTCCCACAGCACCCAGAGAGCTGGGTGCCAGCCCCGTTACCTGTCCATGCCCACCCATGCTGTTCCCTAGCCCCAGCTCTGTCCACACCCCCTTAGTCTGGTCCCTCCTGCCTGTGTGTGCTTATCCATGCCTGGGCCTGCGTATGGATCTGGTGACGTGCGGTAGGAGACCTGGGCCTGCGTGTAGTTCTGGTGACCTGTGGTAGGAGACCTCGTCCTGCGTGTGGATCTGGTGACTTGCCTGGTCCTGTGTGTGGTTCTGGTGGTTGCGGTAGGAGACCTGGTCCTACGTGTGGATCTGGTGACCTGTGGTGGGAGATCTGGTCTGTTGAAGGCTGATAAGCTAGAACTCGCAGGTGGGCAGTTTGAAGATGGAGGAGAGAAGTAGCTAGTCATGGGTGGCACCATGAGGCTTGGCCAAGGGGTGATGGACTCTGTGTGCATGTGGACAGGAGAGGGGAGGAGGGACTGTGGGAGACCATGTAAGGTTGGGGATGTCCCCTCGGGAAGTAGGCTGGGCCTCTTGCTGCTGCAGCAGAGGTGAGTGACTAGGGTGGGAGGGAACGGGAGGCGGGCACTGCGGCTGCAAAGTGGGCCGTGCTGTCCAGGGTGGGTGGCCTTGGGAGGGCCGGGATCAGGCCTGGATGGCCTTCAGTGGGGGCTGGGTGGCGTGTCCCCAGCAGGGCCTTCCAAAGGGTTATGGCTGGCTCTCAGTGGGGGTTGAGGTCCTGGCCGCTGCAGTGAGGGCTCTGGACAAGAAGGGTGCCCAGTGTGTTGCTGAGTAGACCTAGCCCGCCTTCCATGAGCAGACGGAGGGGACCTGGGCACCCCAGGTGTCAGCTGGCCCTTTGGTCTGTGCCTTCACCCTGCCGCCTCACTGGCAGCAGTCACGAGACATCCAGTCTCCTTGGTGGACTGCCCTCGAGGCCACCCTGCCCTCGGTGACCAGTGGGTACTGCCTGCAGGTTGAGCAGCCTGCGGAAGGAGGGACCAGCATCTCTAGATTAGCGATCTCTCTCAGAACCCGACGTCCCCTTGGTCCTTCGCTTTTATCTTTCAGTGGGATCAATTACGACAAACCCCTGCCCCCAATTCAGGTCGCATCTCTTCGTGCAGAGCGGATTGCCAAAGAGAAAAAGGTTTGACTCCTGGCCTCAAGACTTCCATGTGGGGACACCACGCCGGGCTGGTCCACAGGGGGAGACCCTGCATGCTTCCAGGCGGGCCCTGCCCCTCATGCCGGGCTCCAACACGGGGAGACCTCCCTGCCCCTCATGCCGGGCCCTCCCTCCCTGCTTGGTGCTCTAGGCCCTAGCGGATCAGCAGAAGGCCCAGCAGCCAACTGTGGCTCAGCCTCCCCAGCAGCCACCGCCACCACCTCAGTCCCAGCAGCCTCCGCCACTGCCCCAGCCCCAGCCGGTCACCAGCCAGCAGCCTGCCGGGCAGCCGACAGTCCCGGCCCAGGCCCAGGCCCAGCCCCCACCACAGCCGCAGCCCGTGCAGCCACAGCCAAAGGCACAGCCTGCGATAACCACGGGGGGCAGTGCAGCCGTGCTGGTAAGCACCAAGACCGTGTGTTAGACGGCCACCTCAGCTGGCACCGGCTGCGCACCCCCACACGAGTGCTTGGTTGCCCTCCTCTGTGACAGTGACTGCTCAACAGGGCTTCTGTTGGTGGCTAGCCTGCAGACCATCCTCTGTGCGGGCAGGAACAAGCCATCTGCCTAGAGGGCCGATGCCCAGAGCGGCCGAGGCAGCTCTCTGTGGAGTGGTGAGGTCTAGCAGTAGAGACCCCTTTCTCTCACAGAGAAGGCACTACTGGTGGCAACATGCACACTCTCTCCTGGCTCTGACCACTTGTTAGATCATACACACAGACTGTAAAGCTAACTGATTCCATTGGAGCGCATTGTAGCAGACACAGAAGGTGTGATGTGGGGAGGCAGCCTGGTGAAGGTGACTCACTGTGTGGGGGGTGAGTTGGTTCAGACTGGGGAGCTGGCAGCGGGCACTAGCCAAGGGTGCTGATGTCACTGGTGATAGGCAAGAGCTGGACAGGAAATTCAAGCAAACTCTCTCCTACAGGCAGGAACCATTAAAACATCGGTGACTGGGACAAGCATGCCCACTGGTAAGGAAAGAACAAGATGGTGAAGTCCACACATGGCCCTGTGACCTCACTGTGTCACTTGTACTCTGACCACACCGTCTCGCCAGCACATGGCCCTGCAGCTGCACTACCTCATCCTCGTGACCCCGTGGCCACGTCATCTCGTGTGCACTCTGTGACCACACTGTCTCGTCCTCGCGTGCCCCTCGGGGCCCACTGTCTCACCCTCGTGTGATGCTACGGCCGCTCTGTTTCACCCTCGCGTGACTCTCTGGCCCACTGTCACTCTCACGTACCTCTCGGGGCCCACTGTCTCACCCTTGTGTGATGCTACGGCCGCTCTGTCTTATTCTCACGTACCCCTCAGGGCCCACTGTCTCACTCACCTTCCTGTGCCCTCTGACCCACTGTCTCTCTTGCAGGCACGGTGAATGGGAATGTGGTTGTGAACACTATTATCCTCACGTGCCCCTGTGACCCCGCTGCCTCACTCTCGTGTACCCCCGTGACCATCCTGCCTCGCCCTCATGCCCTTCTGACCCGCCGTCTCACTCCCCCTTCTGTGTCCCTCTGACCCACTGTCTCACTTGCCCTCTGTGCCCCTCTGACCTGCTGTCCCGTGGCATCTCTCTTGCAGGCACTGTGAGTGGGAATGTGGTTGTGAACACCATTGCTGGCGTCCCTGCGGCCACCTTTCAGTCCATCAACAAACGTCTTGCCTCCCCTGCAACACCCGGTGCCTTAACTGTGAGTTATGCCCGTTCTCGGCCAGGGTGGAGGGTGTGTAGCCCCAGGAAGGGGACAGTTATTGGATTTTGTTTTTTTGTTTTTTTTTAGTAAAAAAGTTTCCTTAGTGAAAAAAGTAACTCCTTGTGTAACTGACATTCATAAGCTCATTTAAGCATCTGACTGCTGTGGTGCCTTCAGAACTGTGCAGATGCTTTGGGGTGTTTCTCCTTTACTGTGGTGGAATGACGGTCCGAGTTCCTGGGCCATGGGTGGGTCATGCACATGTCACGGTTCAGCTCACAAAGGTGCCTGCACCTCCTGCCACCACACAGTGTGGGACATAGAGGTGGTGACGAGGACGGATGCGCTCGGCATGGGGGAGCTGCCGAGGAGGAGATGTGGCACTGTGTGTACAGGGGCTCGTGGCCCCACGAGGGTCAGTGGGGCACAAGGCAGGGAGCCGTCACTTCCCTAGGGATGTCCGACCACCCTGCGTGGGTGCAGGTGGGGCTGGACCTGGCAGAGACGCAGACCTACAGGCACACAGAGCCCCGTGGCCGCGGGGGCACCAGGGACAATGCTCGCTTCTCCTTGTGTCTCTGAGGTAGAGGCCCCAGAGTTTGTCCACCGGTTCACTGAGGGATGAGGGAGGATGGCAGGCCAACCCTGACTGTGAGACCGACTGCCACTCTGGTGCTGCTTCGACTACTGGCGGGGAGCTGGAAACTTGGGAGGCAGTGTAGACAGTCAGCGAGACGCCTGAAGTGCAGGGGCCTCCAGACCCTGAACCAGCAGTGGGTTTCAGGACCATAGCTCTACCCAAGACCAGGCCCTCTGGACACTATGCCGTGGGGGCAGCACACGTATCTAGTGGTTGTCAGGGTCTTGAGTTCCTTCTCGGGACCAGAGTCTGTGAATGGGGACAGAGGGATGACAGGCAGCTTTGTCGCCATGAGTGGTGCTGTCAGCTAAACCATGCTGCCCCTCCCGTGGGACCCGTCCGGCCCTGAAGCCTCTGTTCTGGGGCTGTAGGTGGTGAGGCTTACATGGGACCTGCCCTCTGGCGGTGTCTGCGTTTCTCAGAGGCCTGAGTGTCAGTATGCTGCCCCCTGAGATTCCCGTTGGTGTTGCCTCTTCCTGCCACAAGCCAGGGCACTTCACTGATCATTACCGCACTTCCTCTTGCAGACGTCCGGGGGCTCAGCGCCTGCCCAGGTGGTCCACACCCAGCCACGAGCAGTGGGCTCCCCTGCCACAGCCACCACTGACCTGGTGTCCATGACGACTCAAGGGGTGCGGGCAGTCACGTCTGTCACCACCCCAGCCGTGGTCACCACCAATCTGACGCCCGTGCAGGCCCCCACCCGGTCTCTGGTGACCCAGGTCTCCCAAGGTAAAGGTGCCCACCCTGTAGCCCCCATTGGCCCTTCCTGTCATCTGGGGTAGGTGGAGGGTCCCGGGGGGCCAGTAGCTGGAGCTGATGAGCCACCTCCTTTGCAGCCACGGGGGTGCAGCTGCCGGGAAAGACCATCACCCCTGCACACTTCCAGCTCCTCCGGCAGCAGCAGCCACCACCACCGCTGCCTTCCCAGGTGCAGGTCCCACAGATCCAGGGCCAGGCCCAGTCGCCAGCCCAGATCAAAGCTGTCGGGAAGCTGACTCCGGTGAGTACCCTCAGGAACCACAGGCACGCGCGTCTGCAGGGTGGGGGTGCAGTCTGCTCTGTGCACGCTGAGCCTTGTGTGTGGGGTGCGCTTTCATCATCTCTGAAACACGCAGATCCCATGTTCACAGGGCAGCTTTCAGAGCCACTTACGGCTTCCTCCTCACACTCTGGGCCTTCTGACTTACCTTCTTTTGTGTCCAGAGAAGGAGGGTCCTCTAGTGCCACTCTTGACAGAGAAAAGGGTGGTGACAAAGCACAACATGACCGTAGGAGGCTGGAGCGAGGCCGTGGTTTCTTTAGGAACAGCTCACGTGCAGGACCGCTTCTCAAAGGCTGGTCCTCGGTGTCCTGGCAGTCCTCTCTGCCGGTGCACGCACCCCCTGTGCTGTGATCCCGTGCTGCCTGTGTTCTAGAAGGACGTGCGTGGTAATGCCGTCAGCAGGGAGTAGTTAAGTAATTAAGCAGGAATAAGTGAGCAGTCAGCTCAATTAACCAGTAACACGTGAGTGGGTAACCACAGCGTAACCGCAGAGTGACGGGGAACAAGTGAGCAGTAACCACAGAGCCAGGCCCGTGTGAGCAGTAAACACAGTCACACTCTCAAGTTCTGACCGTGCCTGCTCTCCTGCCAGAGCGCGCGAGCCTGCAGTCTGCTCTTTCTCCACTGGGAAGGGAGGAGCCTCATGCTAGGGGGTGGCCCTTGGCTGTGAACCCACAGGTAGTCAGTACGGTGAGCCTCCAGAGATGTCCTGGCGTCACGCCTGCTGCTTAAATTGCAATGACTTAAAATGAAAAAGATCAAGTCCCTCAGTCATCCATTCCGTGCTTGATGGCTGCATGTCCTGGAGGCCACCACGTTGGGCAGCGCAGCCTAGGGCGTTCCGTCACGTTGGAAGTTCTCTTGGACGGCGCTATGTTAGAGAAAAAGGAGGCCCAGGATCTAGGACCTGGCAGAGCAGAGGCAGAGCTAGGAATTTGATAAAGCTAGTGGTTGATGCTTTTCTACACGTGTGCACGTACATGTGTGTACACATACAGGCACACACACATGCACAGAATAGCCCTTCATTCTCATGAGACGACCTGTGTCATGCCATGCCTCACCCTGTTCGAGCTGCCAAGGCCCTTCCCCACGTACTGCCTGGCCCTTACCCCTCACTCCCACTCCCAGCAGATCTATTTCAGTCGTTCTGCTTCGGGGGCCTTCAAAGAGACCTGATACAGACAATTCAGTGTCCCTTTTCTGAGAAAATAAACCTGTTGCTTAAGAGAAATATCTCCTGAAACAGTATGTTGAGATGGTGATGTTCTGATCTGACAGACATGGGACATGTCATGAGCTAAGTCACTGAGGGCTGTCGGAACAGCATGGGTGCCCGACACAGCCCGGGCTGTGCCCCACACTCAGGAAGGACCGTGCCTTTCAGACTGTTTCGAACTTGTGTGCAGCGGTGCTGGTGCCCGGCGGGTGCTGGTGCCTGGCGGGTGTTGGTGAGGAGTCACACTCTCTCTGGGTTTCAGGAACACCTGCTCAAAATGCAGAAGCAGAAGCTGCAGTTGCCCCAGCAGGCGCCTCCGCAGACCCAGCCGGGGCCCCCGCCACCCACGCCTCCAGTGCAGCCGCAGCCCCCGCAGCCGGCGCAGCAGCAGAGCCCCCAGCTCACCACTGTCACAGCCCCGCGGCCCGGGGCGCTGCTCACAGGCACCGCTGTGGCCAACCTGCAGGTGGCCCGGCTCGTAAGTCTGGTCTGCGGGTGCTTTTCAGCAGCCCCTGCCGCTTTAGGTTGGGGAACGCTGGGTCCACTGGACCGTGTCAGGCATTGTAACCAACTTCACAGGAAGGTGGAGACGTGCTCTTTCCCTCTGAGTCTAAGTGTTACCGGAGCTGTCGAGGGAAATGCTGACGCCAAGCAGGATGGTGAAAAAAGGAAGGCCTTTACTTCTGTGTGCTGGCACAGGCTCGGTGGATTCACATCCAGACTGAGCCCTGAACAAAGGCCACATGGGGCGTTTCTGGGGCTCTTCTTCCAGGGTATTTGGGGTAAAAGGGTGATTGGTTGCCTGCACAAACAGCACCTGCAGCTCGCAGTTTTCCCGGAAGTTAAACGTGCCTGAGCGGAGTGAGGAGTTGGAGTGTGGGCAGAGGAAGAAGGGACAGGGAGCAGGGAAGGGGAATTTTCCACTCTCTATACGTGGTTTTTCAAGCTGGCCTGAGCTGCATGTCTCTGGCCTCACAAGTTGTTTCACTGCCCAATAGCACTACCCTATTTGGGTTGGGCAAAGGTTATAATTCCTTCATTTCCCTCCCCTGCCTCATAAGCACTTCCTGTGAGACAGTTAAATACTGACCCATCTCAGCTTTCACAGAGTCACACAGCTCACTGGTCCTTGGTGGGAAGGGCAGGGAGCCAGGCCATGAAGGGAGGTAAGGTTAGTGTAGGGGAGGGTGAGGGTGCACAACCGTGCGCAGGAGGCACCACAGGTGGTGGGAGCGGGCAGGGTCCTGACCTCAGAGGGACCAGTGTAGAGGAGCAGAGGGTCTGCGTGGACGGCTTGCAGGGGCATGGACAGGTGGCTGACCAGAGGCCTATGCACCTTGTGAGAGCCTTTGGCGTTTGAAGACAGGAATAGTAACCCTGGCACTTGGAAGACCATCTGTGCTGGTATAGGGTACTCTGTGCTGGGCCCTAGGTTAGGCAGTGCCAGCTCAGAGTGGGGCTTGCTCTCCTCTGGAGCTGCCTGAGCACCTCACATTTGTCGCGGGTCCACCGTGGTGGGTGCAGGTGCTCAGTCCTTGGGTCACGTCTCAAGTGGAGAAGCTGAATCTGCTCAAGCACCATGTCGGCAGGGCCTGTGGGCCTGTGGGCCTGCCCTGAGGCTGCACTCGGGTGGACGTGAGCCCTGAGGCTGCACTCGGGTGGACATGAGCCCTGAGGCCGCACTTGGGTGGACGTGAGCCCTGAGGCCACTGGCCAGGGCCAGCCCGCCACAGAGAAGTAAAGTGATCCCAGTGGAGCTTGCAGAATGGGGGCTGAAGTAGGGGGCAGTGGCAGATCCTGTCAGCCAGGGCACAAGGCATGCACAGTCTCCTCAGGCCTGTCGGGCTGGGAGGGGCTTTGGGACTTAAGCTATAGGAACAAACCTACAACTCAAGCCAGCAGTCCGTTCCTAGTGTGTCCTGAAGAAGTCACAGGACAGGTCACGAAACAGTGTGTGGCCACACCCATTTGCTGCGGGAATGTTGGGGACAAATGCCCACACCTGAGGAAGTCACTACACCACGACACATGCACAGCAGGATGCTGAACAGCTCTGGAAAACAGCTGTAGTTCTGTGTAGCTTGACTGTGACTAAAGGACTGGACTCAGGGACACGGCAGTTGTGCCCGTTTCTGTGTGTGGTGAAGCATGAGGTCCAGAAGGGCAGGTGCCAGTCGTGACATTTGTGGATGGCGGTGGGATTGTGGGTGATTTTCACTTCTTTATTGTCTTGGGTCAGTAGGGTTTTATACACGTTTTCTTCCTTTTTGCCTTTTGAGATGGGATGTGAGGGTCAGAGTGCTTGGTGGCAGTGTGACTAATCAGTGGGAAAGATGGTGTCTGAGACCATGACCTTGCTGTGAGGATGGAGCTAATCTGTAGGGGTGGCTGAAGGGATGGGAGAGGGGAGATTCCTGGGGAAAAGGGGACAGGGACGGGTGGGCGATGACCGTGACTGAGGCTGGGGTTATATAAGTACCTTACATCTGAACACTGGTTAATATGGTTGATCAGCTTCTCTGTCTGAACACAGCCGGTGCCCTGCCCGTGCAGGTGGTGGGTGAGGGGAGGGTGGGCCTACAAGGAGACACTTTGCCCTCAGTGTGTAAATCATGAAAGCTTAGTTAGTGTGACATCTTTTCATCTTGATCTGTTATCTAGTCAGTGTTCTGTCAACCTGGCCTCTTGTACGGAGCTGTAACAACACGTGAGATTCTGTCTTTGTCTGACCTCACCCCTCATTTTCCCTGCGCAGACCCGGGTACCCACCTCTCAGCTACAAGCCCAGAGCCAGATGCAGGCCCAGACACCCCCAACAGCACAGGTGGCCCTGGCAAAGCCCCCTGTGGTATCAGTGCCAGCGGCTGTGGTCTCCTCGCCGGGTGTGACAACACTGCCCATGAACGTGGCCGGGATCAGTGTGGCGATTGGGCAGCCGCAGAAAGCAGCAGGTGACGGTGGGCGTGCACCCTGCCTGTGCCTTGTACTCTGCACCCTGCAGAGCCGTTGCCACTTGGTGTTTGAGCAGTGTTTGCTACACCTTTCCCAGCAGGCCCCGGGCCTGAGGTGTGTCCTGGGTGCATGTTGTGGTTTAGCTCCTGTGCCTCTCAAGGATGCCCAGCTCCACTTGGGGCCCGTCTGTCTCACTGTTGGTTGTTCTGCACTGGCCACATCAGTGCCAACGTGGACCCAGACACAGCTTAGGGGGACCTGCCCTGCCTCAGTGGCCCTGTTGCCATCGGGCAGAGGGTGGCTGACGTGGCCTTGGTGTCTGCAGGGCAGACTGTGGTGGCCCAGCCCGTCCACGTGCAGCAGCTGCTGAAGCTCAAGCAGCAGGCGGTGCAGCAGCAGAAGGCCATCCAGCCCCAGGGCGCCCAGGGCCCGGCCACCGCCCAGCAGAAGGTACGTGGCCGCAGCTCTTGGCCCGCCTGGGGCGGAGGCCTGCCCCGGGCAGCACGGGCCCTGTAGGAGGTGCTGGTCTAGCAGAGCCCTGCGCCAGGCTGGGGGCTGGTGACCCTGTCGTGGTGGAACCGCCAGCTCGTGTGTATCCTCGTCTCCCCTGCCTGTGATGATGTGGCGGCTGGGAGCGGGACCTGGTGGGGGGCCAGAAGCCCTCTGCTCTGAGGCCTGTGGGGTGTTAGGGAGGCCTGTCCTGGAAAGGCAGTAGGTTCATGTGGTGGTGGTGCCTGCTGGGAAAGCCTGGAGTCAGACAGGGGCCGCCCGGTGCAGGAGAGGAGGGGCATGAGGGGCCAGTGCTGAGGAGGAAGGCGGGGCTTGGCTTTGGGACCTGCGGCCTGTCTCCTCAGATCACTGCTCAGCAGCTGGCTGCACAGGGCCCGCAGCAGAAGGTGACCTACGCCACCCAGCCGGCACTGAAGACCCAGTTCCTGACAACGCCCATCTCCCAGGCCCCGAAGCTGGCAGGGACTCAGCAGGTGCAGACTCAGATCCAAGTGAGTGCGTGGTGGGTGCCAGCTTGTGCACACCTGTGACCCGGTGCTGTGACCACGGCCTTGTGCCCGCCTGCCCCGCTCCTGACCCGCATGACTCTCCTGCTTGTCCTCATGCGTCTTGGCTTCTGTGTTGCTGAGGGATGCTGCGTGGTATTGGTATGGGGGGCTCCCTGGGGTGCTTTGCAACCGTGCCCCGTTCCTTTTGGGGCTTGTGCGATTCCCCGGGTGTCAACATGCAGTGTCTCCTCTTACGAGCACTTCCCTTCCACCCTGGGTGGCCAGTGCCGTCTTTTTGGCGTTGGCCGCACTGGCGTGGTGCTGAGAAGCAGTGTCCGTGTGCCCACCCACGAAGCTGCATAGCCTGAGCCCCAGACCCTCGCCATCTGGCGCACGCGCAGTGGCTTCTCGTTCTGGCCTCCACTGCGTCTGTGTTGCACACACCACCCAATTGCCCCATTTGGTGTCTCCGTTCTGGGTGTGGCTTCTACATCTCCTGGCTGCGGGTCTGCCTTTCTCCTGCATTAGGGTGACTTCTGCCACTGGGAGTTCTCCAGGCCGTCAGTCCTGTCGTTCTGCCTGCTTCTGGAGGCCTACCCCAGGGCGTGCGTGGTAGCTGCCTGTCTCCCGAGGCCTGGAAGCTTTCAGTTCTATGTCAGACAGCCTCCTGGAGTTCAGTCAGATTTGTGGAGTCACTGCACCTCCTCTGTCCCACTGACCTGCTACACGGCCCTGCTGTGGGCTGTGCACCGCCCTTCTGTCCTCTTGACACGCCCCTTGTCTGTCCCTCACGGGCTCCTCGCTTACAGCCTGCAGTCAGCACTACTGCCGCTGTTGCAGGGCCTGTCCGCCTCTGCCGGCTGACTGTCCGGAGTGCTGATGCGCTTGGGCCTTGGTTTGGGCTTTCTGTCTGTCCTGGTTGGTCTCTTTCCTTTTCCTTCTCCTGGCCGCCTTTTGCCTGTTCCCCTCTTTGCTCTATTCCCTCCCTCCACCAGTTGGAAGTCAGCCCTCGCTCTCTGTTTCTGCGTGGTTGCCCTGCGTGTGCACACTCATTCCTGCTTCCCGAGGAGTCAGGGTGGCCAGTCTCTGCCCTCTTCCTGTTCAGGGTCTTTGTGGTTTCCACGTGGGCGCCCCTCCCCGTTGATGTAAATGCCGCTGTTGCCCTGATGTCACCTTGACCTAAGGCCACTTTTTTTTCTCCCTGAACCTCACACTTTGGCGTAATCTTCCATATGGACAGATGTCTTTCTCACTGTCATTCACTCTCTAGACAGACGCTTGTGTTCTATGTGCTGTGAAGTGCCGATCCGGGGGGCCACATGCAGTGTGATGTGCCTGTGCCTCAGGACATCTGTCCTTTCCTCTGTGTCCTTTTCTTAGAAGCTGTGATTTGATGAAAGGTTACAAAGCAAATTTGTTTTCATTCAACATTTACATACATTTTGTATCACGCCATTGACTGCAGTCCTCACAAGGTAACAGCTCTCTTCCCACTTCTTCCCTGTGTTTCCTGTTTCCTTTCCTCCTCCTTTCCCGTCCCTTCCTGCCCTCTGAGCCTTATCCCCAGGCCAGTACTGCCTCTTTGATCTTGAATGGTTGATTGCTCTAAGGAGTAGGTACCTCCCTGGTGTTGCTCTTCACCTGGTAGGTCTGTTGTTTGGCTGAAAGTTGAGTCACGGGGATGAATTCAGTTCCAGGTTGACGTCTCCTTGGGGGTCCCTCTGTGTCCTTGCTCCCCTCTGTCCTGCTCTGAGGTCTTGCTGCAGTGTGGGTCTGTCCTGTGTGGTCTTGCTGCAGTGCGGGTCTGTCCTGCTCTGAGGTCTTGCTGCAGTGTGGGTCTGTCCTATGCGTCTTGCTGCAGTGTGGGTCTGTCCTGTGAGGTTTTGCTGCAGTGTGGGTCTGTCCTGTGTGGTCTTGCTACAGTGTGGGTCTGTCCTGCTCTGAGGTCTTGCTGCAGTGTGGGTCTGTCCTGTGTGGTCTTGCTACAGTGTGGGTCTGTCCTGTGTGGT